GTCTGTGTTTATGTTATAGTCCTGGGCACAGCTGATTTCAGTTGCGAGCAGGCCGAGCGAAGCTCCTCGACAGGTTTATACATGATGAGACGGGTTCCTCAGTACCACTTTCCTCTCACCTCCTTTGCTGCCTCTTAATGTGGGAGATCACATATACTATTGGGTAGGGATGCACCGATACCGGTATTTTTTCCCCCGGTACTCGCCGATACCGAGCACCGAAAGTCCCATTCAGGAAGCCAGGCTGCGTGTAAAGACTCTCCACCCGGCTTCCCGATTCACAAGGAAGCCTTCCCCATGCGAGGAGAAAGCATGGAGGCGACTTCCCGGCCAATCATGGAATGTATGTGTAATGACGCGACGCCCTGCTTCCTGATTGGCCGGGAAGTCGGCTCCATGCTCTCTCGTCACAAGTGGCATGGAGCCGGCTTCCAGGCCAATCAGGAAGCCGTTCAGCGTGTAATGACGTGCTTGGCTGGCTTCCTGATACAGGAAGTATCGGGCTAGGCATCGGAGCATTTGGGCGAGCGTGAGTACTCTATGGGTCTATGCTTTCTCCTTCTCGACTATTACACCACCAGCCATCAGGGGGGGTAGTTCTGACGGGAGGAAGCAAAGCCCTGCCTCTACCAAGATGGCCGCCTCCATACAGAGACAACAACAAGTCATGGCGAGTCAGTAATGGGGAGAAGAACAACCCCAGGGAGACCGCAGGCAATACTGGTGGCTAGTCCTCTGTCGGCCTTTTTTGGACACGGCAGGCCCTCTAACTTAATTCTTACTAGTCGTGATCCGCCAGCAGCATGTCAGAGGGTTTCAAACAAATCTGTAGTCAGACGGCAGCTCCTCCATGACAGATACAACAGATCACGTTCCCTTCAGTGTCCCCCCACCAGGGCCGCTTACTGGTCACTTTAGTCTCCTGCAGACAGACGACATCTGCGTCCAGCGAGTCGAGGATTTCCTTCAGCCCCACTCGAGTTGCCCGGATCCCGTTTATATTCCAGCTCACGATCTTCATCCTTCCAAAACAAAAAGGAAATAAATAAAATGTTATAAATACTATTAAAGATATTATTAGGGATGCCCCGATACTAGTATGGGTGCCGATACCGAGTATTTGGGTGAGTACTCGTACTTGCCCAAATGCTCATGATTGGCCAGCAAGCCGTCTCCATGCTTTCTCGTCACCTAGCGACACGAAGCCTGGGACGGCTTACTTGTTAATCGGGAATCCGGGTGGGGAGTCATTACATGCCGCCTGGCTTCCTGAATGGGACTTCCGGTACTCGGTATCGGCGAGTACCAAAAAACAAAATATATATATATATCGGTACTCGGTACCAAAACACCGGTATCGGTGCATCCCTAGATATTATGGGGTCAGTCCAACCAAAACTGATTTTACAGCATCGACGGACGTTGCTGGCTTCTTTAACCGCCTTCCGGCCGGCCGGGGGCTTCCTGGATCTAAGCGGGCGATTTTAAACGTCCCGTCAGCCACGCCCACTCGCGGAAAGTGCCAACATTTATAAAGAGGCAGCGATGCCTGTGTACATACAAGCGATCCGTCGGCTATAGAGCCGGCAGATCACTTGTACGAGGTGCTGATCCGTGTGCCCCCACCCCTATCCCCGCTGTGAGCCCGGGACCAGCATGGTGGCTCTGACAGGGGATGAGAGGGGGGTCAGTACACGATCTCCCTCCGGTCCCCTCTCCGCTGTCAGAATGCGGAAGAGATGTATATGACATCACTTCCGTATATGACATCACTTCCGTATATGACATCACTTCCGTATATGACATCACTTCCGCATTCTCGTGTCACTCTCCAGCTTCAGAAGTAGATCTCGGCTCCATCAGCTTCTTTGGGGGGTCCCTAGGTAACATTAGGGGTCTTGGAGACCCGTGATGTCTCCATAAAGAGGACCAGTCACATATATTTGCTATCACATGGGGGGAGGTTGTCACCTGGTGATCCTGCAAATAACAAACTTCCTGTCCCTGGGTGGCTACACTCACTCCTCTACTGCATCTATGGAGGGAGTCATGGTGGTCACCTGGTGATCCTGCAAATAACACACTTCCTGTCCCTGGGTGGCTACACTCACTCCTCTACTGTGTCTATGGAGGGAGCCATGGCTGTCACCTGGTAATCCTGCAAATAACACACTTCCTGTCCCTGGGTGGCTACGCTCACTCCTTTACTGTGTCTATGGAGGGAGCCATGGTTGTCACCTGGTGATCCTGCAAATAACACACTTCCTGTCCCTGGGTGGCTACGCTCACTCCTCTACTGTATCTATGGAGGGAGTCATGGTTGTCACCTAGTGATCCTGCAAATAACACACTTCCTGTCCCTGGGTGGCTACACTCACTCCTCTACTG